GGTTTATTCATTCACAGCACGTGGAGCTGGGTCAGAGAGCAGCCTTGGCTGGCAGGAGGCTCTGAGGGTCAGCCTGCGGCTGCTCCCCCTGGCTTAAGATGAGGTGGAGGGGCTGGCTGGGGCATTAGGGAGCTTCAATGCAGGACTAGCAGGCAGACAGCCTCCACACTGAAGCACCCTTGTGCCCCAGCCAGCCCCTTCAGCGTCTACACATACGCAGGATAGTGGTTTTATTTACAAGTATTATCCTCCTGCAGAGTAAATTGGTTTACTCCAGCCTAATAGAGGTGCACATGTAGATGCTGAGACGTTTAGTGCATAGCTGATAGTAAACATCTAGTGTAGATGCACCCTCTGTATGGTAGTCAAGTTGCATGATTGTTGAGTTAAGGTTGATGCTGCACTAGTATAACACTTAAAACCTCCAATCTGTCACATCTTGTGAGAAAACAACAAAGATCACCGTCATTGTTCCTTAGAACCTAGTTTAGACACATTTTTGAAAATGTAGGGGATTCAGTTTGTATATGAGATGATGAGGAAGATCAAAATTATCGGACCTCCTCCATGATTCCAGGAAACATTGTGCGTATGATTGTTTCATCAAAATTATTTGATTCTCCTCTTTATAAATTATGTTTGAAATAATGTTACACAGATGTAGATTCAGAGGAACTAAGTGTCTATATCAACAGATGCCCTCCTCCCATGATTTATAGCAATACTCCTAGACAAAATTATCTTCTTGGCTTATGGAAGAAATCTAGGTCAGATCATCCCTATGCAGTGTTTTTTTTGTTTGTTTGTTTTTTATTATAGCTTTTCTTTGCCTTGTTGTTTACGTGAGATGCTGTGTCAGATTGACATGACTTTGTTTTTCTTCTTAAGCCTATTCCATGTTGCCAGCAAACTCTTAGCTTGTTTTTGCTATCTTGGGGTAGATTTTGAGTGTGCATATGCACAGAGAAATAATAGGGGAATGAAAATGTATCTTAGGGGCTATCCTGATGCTAGATCCAGGTGTATGAGTAAGTATGTTCATTTGCTGGTTTATTTCCTTCTGAGGGCATGTCAGCCGGAAGGGCAGGAATTAGGCTTCATCCTCAACATGTATCCATTCTGTATGTCTGAAGTGGATTAACCAGGCTAGGGGAAAGGTGTGGCAATTTACTGCTGGTTTAGGACAATCTTCACTTACGACTCCCTAGACAGGAGACACCTTGAGTCTCAGACAGGTGTCTGAGTCAGCATCTTCAGGGAGGTTCTTAGGGTTGGGCCACTTGCATTTGATTTAGGATAGAATCTAAAGTTGCGGTTTCATCTTGGCCTTCTGGAAATGTTTACACTGAAATCAGGAGCTGCACATCAGGGATAAGTTACCTTTAGACTAGTTAGACTGGGTACCAGTAACAGTGAAGATACAGTGGCCCAGATTTCACTGTGGATTGTACACGTTTGCTGGCTTCACTGGCATTCTTATATGCGCTAGGTACATTAAAGTGAGGGTGGGGATATTTGCCTGGCTGCAGTCACACCTTGGATTGCAGTGAGGACATACCTTTAATTTAAGAACATGTAAAGGCAGAATTACTTTGGTCTGGTAAATAGCCATCTTGATTCTGCAGTATGAGGAATTGATTTCCACCACATTAATTAGCACCTGAAGCCTCCAGTGTTGCTACAAGAAGTATTAGGATAACCTGCAGACTTAAATATCACTCAGGGTGACTAAAGCTGGAAGGAATGGGTTTGTGGAGGAGTGTTTGCTTTCATAGGTAACTTGTTTGCGTTCCTTGTGGTTGCCAGCCTCCCTGGGCTAAAATTTAGCCCAATGTCTTCAGCAAGTCCATAGAACAGAGACTAGATATTGACTGTGTACTGAGTGCAGCTCCCACTGATGTCACTGGGAGTCTTTCCTCTAGCTGCAATGGGAGGATAAAGAACCTGACTTCTTACAGAGCCTGCTTTGAGCCTGCTGGGGAGATTTTTCTGCTGGTCAACAGGTGAGTGGTGAAATCTGGCCCACTGTGTCCTCCTCGGCTATAATGAAGATGAGACGGACTGTCCCAAGCTACAGTGAAATAACAGAGACATGCAGGAGGACTTACCTGTCACTTCTGTTTCCTTCTAGACAGATGTCATGCACCAGAGTGTGTTTGAGCTGATTCACACTGAGGATCAGCAGGAGTTCAGGCGCAACCTTCACTGGGCCCTTAATCCTCCTCATGTACCTGAGGATGAATCATCTCTTGATGGTAGGTGCAGAAAACCTCAGGGACCCAGGAAACACAAGGTTCTTCTTTTGAGGTAGCTGTCTGGCTACCTGGTCCAGTTCTGCTACTGCCCCAAAGATCAGAGGGAATGCCCTCTCGTTTTTCACTGCTTCCAATAAATGGTGGAACCACAGAATCCTGTCATACACTTGTTAATCCAGCTCCATTGTAATCAGGAAAAGATTTCCCATTGACCTCAGGGATAGCAGGGGTCTCCTGCCTGATATGGTGCCACCAGAGATGGGAGGATGCATCTGTGTCTTCTGCAGTCTCTCTTGACCCCAGGGGAGCACAACTGTGCCTCAGCTGCTCAGTGGAGAGTTCCACAGGGGTAGCTGACTGTACATCTTGAAGAAGTGCATGTGTTGCTGTCTATCTAAAATGAAAGAATGGCTTCCAACTGAGACCAAACTAACATAACTCTGTCTAGCCCAGGTAAAGAGATATACCAGTCAGCTCATTTAATATAGCTGCTATTTACAAACTGTGTTTGATTCAACCCTTAGTTGCAGCCAAGGCTACAAATCTTTCGTCCCTATCTGCCTTTTTGAATGTGCATGCTCCAGCATATGCTGTGCATAAGACTGAGGGAATGTGCATTAAAAAGAATGAGATGTCAGATTTAAGGACTGTAGATGGGACAGAGTTGAGGTTGTCTGGCTAATTTTAACTTGGAAACCTTCCTGTTCTTCGCATACATTTAACTGGGAAAGGAACAGGACTGCCAGATAGATTTAGAGGAACCAAGTCTATGCATTAAGAGGAGGAGTTTTTCCTGGTTTTATAACAATACTTTTAGATACAGCTTCCACAGACTCGCTGTATCAGTATTGTCAGGAACCTCCATGCTTTGGTGGTTACTTAAATGCTGCTCATTTGGGTGCTTTTTTAAATCTCTCATTTTTTAGGTGAGAAGAGCATGAACAACTCTGTTACTACCTACAAGCCTGACCAGCTGCCTCCTGAGAACTCCTCTTTCCTAGAAAGGAGCTTTGTTTGCCGGTTTCGTTGCCTCCTGGATAATTCATCTGGGTTCTTGGTGAGTGAGAACCTATGTTGTTTTCTCATTAGTGTGATAGTCCTGGGCACCTTCACCCACTGTCGGTGGCAGATGGGGGTCCACAAAGACCCTTGACCCTACAAAAAATAAGGTGGTTATTCCTGTCCCTGGATTTTCTTTCTTTGGAACTTTCATTCAGTCCTGGATTGCCTAGAGCTGAGGCCTTCTCTACACTAGCTTGATTCTCCATTTTTTTCTTTCATTGTACTATGCAGCAAATCTTCAAGGAGTTCTCTGTGTCCCCAGTGTTAACACACCTGAAATACAGAGCATATTGGGGCTTCTTGTTTCAAGGAAGTAAGACTCTCTTAAATTAGAAAAAGTCTCATGCATTGTACATTGCAAATAATCAGAGTGACTGCAGTAACTAATCTTCACCTATCGGTCATTATTGCCCTGGCCTGTCTGTACTCACCTTCTTATTGAGTGCTTAATGGCATAGTAACAAGAGCCTGACGTGGATAGATATTGCTGGACTTTGCAGGTCTGATCACTTCCAGCTCCCACTGACTCATCTTTCTGAGATTTGGCATGACTCAAGATTAGGTATAGGTCCTAGATGATGCAGCCTTTGTATGAAGGTTGATGAATTTATCATGCTAAATGCTAAGAGCACTGGATAGCTCAGGGGACTGGTAATGGGCTGTGAAGATTTTCACTTCTAGGTCATCAGTTCAAAGGCAGCTGCTGTGGGCGGTGACAAAAAGCCATTCTTGCCTTCTGGCTGTAGGATGGCCGAAATGTGTTTCGCACTGTGGGTTCTGCCCATACCCCAGTGAGCTGTTGTCAGAAATCACAATCTCTGATTGCAGCTGAAGCAGAAACCAAGGACTAAAAGGAGCTGGTAACTCATTCCTTTCTTGTGCCCAAGAGCATTAGAGGCAAGGGGTACATTAGCTGAAGCAGATAAATAGTTAAACAAACTTTCAACATAAGCTAACACACTACATGAGTGTGTCAGGGGCAGCAGCCAAGCAGGTGATCAGCAGGAACAACGCTACTACAGGAGCACGCTGCATAAGTCAATTCATTGTAGGAGCCTGTCAGAGTCCAGGAGGGGTGAAGTAGTGCAGGACAAACCAATAAGAATAAAAGCTAGCAGCACAGAGCATGGTTCTGCTCAGTCAAATCATAGCCAGTCTGATGCAAGGCATGTTAGTTATGGGTGGAGGTTCACTTGACCTTGCTGTTGGCTTCCTACTAACAGTGAAGGGCAAGAGGAATAGGCAGGTGTAATGACAGGCATGCATGCCCCGTTGCCCCTGAATGTCTCTAGAAGCCCAGGACAGGTTCTGGAAAGGTTTCAAAAGTAAGTGATAATGCAGAAACCTCCAGGACAGTTCCCTCAATCTGACAGTTGATGGTATCAGTCTTAAACAAGGAGGGTTGGCCTTTCTATCATTTTAAAGGGAGATACAATTTTATAGATGGAAGTATTTTCTAAAGTCCATAACAGCCTCTCAAGGGATGTCAATAAGCACATCGGCTGCACCATTTCTCTCTTTTTTCGCTTTTTGCATCTGTGGGAGATGAAAGCATGAGCTGTGTGGAGCATTGGGATGTGTTATGAACAGTGCAGTTGGCAGTGCCAAAGTGGAAAGTAGGCACAAATCTTTCCTTGTAACTTCTATTTTTCTGCTTTTCAGGTGTGTGGTACATGAGGCATGTCCTGCCACAGCCTTTAGGGCAGGGGTAGTAAATTATTTTGGCTGGAGGGCTACTTAATGAGTTTTGGGGACCTGTCAAGGGCCACGTTCCATCTCTGTCTCTCCTCTCGTCCCATCCCATCCCATCCCATCTCTTCTGCTCTGCCTCTCTCTGTCTGTCTGTCTCTCTCCCCCTCCAAATCCAGCTGAAACTGTAGTTTGCCAGAAGCCCTGGCGCTCAGCTGTGGACCCGAGCCCAGGCAAGTGGCAGCATCAGCTTCAGCTGGGTTACGGAGAGAGGTGGGGAAAGAGATGGAGAGAGACGATGCCACTCATCTGGCATGGCTGCAGCTCCTGCCTGGGTCCATGGCAGATGCTGCTGGCAGGTTCCAGATCAGGACTCTGCGTGGGAGTTTCCACCATGCTGGGAGGGTGGTAGTTCAGCTGTGGATGCAGCCAGCAGGTTCTGCGTCCGGGCTCCTGAGCCTGTCTGCAGCATCTACAGCTGATGCTGCCACCTGGCTGCTGAGAGGGAAGCCCTGCCTGGGTCCACAGCTGATGCCTGGTGCTGCTGGGCCGAAGCAGTCCCCCCTGCCTGCCTGGCACCACGTGGCTACCAGAGTCGCTGTCCCCCTGTGGGCCAGTGAGTTGGTGGCTGTCCACTCATGGGCCAGATTGAATTGGTTGGTGGGCCATATTTTGCCCACCCCTGTTTTTAAGGTCACTAATCATAGTTCCTTTGCCTAATTTAAGCAAGCCCAAATTACAGGAGCAGGTCCTACATCCCAAGTTTTCAGACTCATTTACGCCATTGTTACTATAATGCTCCAGCACATCTGAAATCTATTTACCAGACAGCCATGATAAACTGATTCTCTGTGGCTTCTGTGTCCTTCCCATAGGCCTTGCTTGTTTCTTTACACAGGGCTTTCAATGCTAGATTTTCTTCCCAAAGCACTACTTTTACAATCTCATTCAGGTTCTCAAAGTGAGTCCTAACTTTTTCTTTTACAGGCTTTAAATCTCCAAGGACGGTTGAAGTTTCTTCACGGACAAAATAAAAGGTCTGAAGATGGGTCTCTGCTACCACCACAGCTGGCTCTTTTTGCCATCTCTACTCCTTTGCAGCCCCCATCCATCCTGGAGATTAGAACCAAAAACATGATCTTCAGAACAAAGCACAAGCTGGACTTCACACCTTTGGCGTGTGATGCCAAGTGAGTACTGAAGCTGAGTGTATGTGATTAAATAGGATTTTCCTAAAATACTCCCATAGGTGAGACTCACATTATGGATAAAGGTTCACATTCATTGTTCAGCTAGGAGGGTCTTCAGAGGTTTTCAGGTTTTGATTCTTGACAGTGAGTGCTGTTCCTTTTGGTAATGGGTTTTAATTATTTTGGGTGGGTTCCAATGATCAAATGCCTAGTCACTGTTGTCCTCTTTAGATCAGCAAAAACATGGAATCTGGCCTTGCAAGCCCATTTTTAGTGTAGACAAGCTGAACGTTTCTATTATTTGAGTTACCCATTTCTAGCAACAACATGCAGGTCCTATCTTTATGTAATGGAGGATGTATACAAGCTGGAGGGACTCATGCCAAGGCCTCTAATGTGTTCCTTACTGTGACTTTTTTAATACCCCAGAAGTAGGGGTGTGTGAAACTTACACCAGCCCAGGGGTGTATAGCTTTGAGAGGTACTGTTAGTTAGGCAAACTGGCAAGTCATGGCTCTCCCCTTGCACCTAGGCTGATGGGCAGTGGTGTGGATCTCAGGTTGGCAAAGCATCCCTGTTTGGTTCACCGCTGAAGCAGCTGATAATAAGCCCCACAGGAATCAATGAGATTTAGGCAGGTGCTGAAGTGTTCTGCAGAATGAGGGGTTTACTGTTCCATGAGGCCAGCTATACATTACTAACCCCCACTGGTCTCCCTGGGCCACTCCAGTCATCAAGAACCAGACTTCAACTTATTCTTTACCCATGTGCTCTGGGGATAGAGTAGGTAGATGAGCAATGTTACTTTCTTTTACATGGCCAGACTTACATGGCCAGGCACTGGGCAACCCAGGAGGGGTTCTTACTCATAGCCTGAGCCACAGGCTGCCTTTATTATTTAGGGGCAATGTTGCCATTTCAGGACTGTAAATATTACTGGAAGACATAGAGTAGTTGATTTGTTGCAAGCCAGCCCATTTGTCTGTCTGTCTGTCCTGCAGAGGGAAGATAGTTCTGGGCTACACAGAAGCGGAACTGCGGATGCGTGGTACGGGGTACCAATTTATCCATGCTGCTGATATGCTGTACTGTGCTGAAAATCATGTCAGAAGTAAGGCTTAAAAAAACCCTTTTCCTCCCAGCCTTCTTGGTGTGCTGTAGCCTGACCTTCAGATTAATTAGGATTTTGGCAGGGGCCAATAGAGTCAAATTGTGATGGGCGCATGAGTCTGTAGCCCAAGCCCTTGAACAGTGTGCTCACTCAAGCCAGAGGGACTTTTTCCCAATGTGATCTGCCTTTCTATACTAAGCACTTCACTGACGACTTGAGAGGATGCCTCTTTGTATTACCAAGGGCCTCGGAAGGAGTTCAGGTTAAGTCTGTGGGCCAGGATAGTGAAATTAACCTCACTGCAATATGGATATAGTACCTGATGAAGTAGGTGGTTTCATATGAAAGCTCATACTTCTGAGTTAGTCTTTAAGGTGCCATCCTGCCCTACCTACTGCCTGACTTTAGGCTAAGAGAGCTAACCACTTATGTGGTCCTTGATGCAAAATGTAAAGCTTGCTGAACAACACTGTGTCTGATGGACCTGACCCATTACAGTTTGCATGTAAAAGCAGGGCCACCTAACAATGTCTCTGACACAGCTCAGCGATAGGAGGATATGCTGCTCTGCAAAAGCAGTCACATAGAAAGAAATACTTGTTTAAACAGCCACTTCTTTATCCATCCTCTCCATGCCCCAACCTGAGGATTTCTTTTTTCAAATGGGGGACTAACTAACTCAGGCCTTATTGACACTTACCTGGGTCTGCCAACAGATGGGCAGATAGCAGGCAGCAAACCTTGTTGTCATCCAGTGGCTTGAATGTGTGCATATCCATGTGTTTGTGGTGGCTCTAAGTAGCTCCATTGCAACAGCTGGGCTGACCACGTGTGTAGTGCTGAAGAACCTGTCTAAGCTGGCAGTAGGCACTGGAGAAACCACATGCACTTTCTGCCAGCTCCCAGACACAAGCAGAAGTCTTCTTTCACTTAAGAGAAAAGGTGTACCTCTGCCAGCAGATAGGAGGGTACCTCTGCCATCACAGTGGAGCACTGTTGTATAGACTAGGCCTCTGTCTTATATCTGACTTACCTTCTTAAACAGCTAATGTGTTTCTAAGGAAGCTGTAAATAGTAACACTGTTGATTTCAATGCCAGTTTACACCAAGTGAGGCTCCAGCCTTATGTCCTTATACTGCTGCCTGTCCCACTGCTGCAAGGAGTTTTACTTCACAGTTTCATCAGAGAAATTAACAAGAAGTTATATAAAAAGTATTTCACATTACAATATTGTTATGGAGTTTAAAAGAACACATTCTCCTCTCAAAATGTTGCTGTGATGGCCATGATCAGCCAGCGTAGATGAGTGCTCTCTGGACAAATTATGTTTTGTATGGTTGCAACTTTCTAACAGTAAATTAGGTTGTTTGTCTTACTAATCTATGCAAGGCCTTTGGAAGGGAAAAGTGTCACCTTCCTCCCGCAGCCTAGCTTAGGGTACAAGGAGCAGCTGCTTCTGCAGCATTGATGGTTAACCTACAGCCTGGGTGGAGAAAAATGATTTTCTGTGAGTGGCTTTTGGTCAGATGCACGCTGCTTTGGCAGCCTGTAATGAAGGGTGCGCTGAGGTCCACAAGATGGTGCTGGAAGATCCCACAGCAATGTCAGTATCACTCAGACCCACAAATTGCTCAGCAGTGCCCGTGTCTCTGCAAGTCCAGCTTTGCTCATCACCTTCATTTGACATCTCTTTTCCAGTGATGAAAACTGGAGAGACTGGCCTGACTGTTTTCCGTCTCCTGACAAAAGAAAATCGTTGGAAGTGGGTCCAGGCCAATGCCAGACTCGTCTACAAGAACAGCAAACCTGATTACATCATTGCCACACAACGGCCGCTTGTGTAAGTGTGGGGCTGCAGACCTGCAGGGCTTCTAAACTCTGCTGAGGTGTCAGAAGCTTCATAAGTGTTGGCACTGGATTTATGACCCAGTTACCTTATTCTGGGCGGACCCAAACCCTCAAACTGACCACGACCTCTCCATTTGATAATAGCCAAATAATACTGATACACAGTAATAGCAGATAAGAATAATGCAAATAATTCTATATCTACCAATCCCAGGGTTCACAGAGTTGAGGTACATCTGGCCAGTACCTGGGCTTCACTCTGAGGTTCTCTTTTGAATGTCAGCAGCCTGGAGGTCAGAGGCCAAGATCCCCCCAGAGCCCCCTAGTGGGGTGGGTGAATTGGACTGGTGGTATGCCCTCAGTCTACAGTGACCTTGGGTTCCCTTCTCAGGGACCCTTTGCTTCCCTTGATTTCTCTGAAATCCTTTCTTCTGTATTCTTTCCTCCTTTGATGACTCTTCATCTTTGGGCAATGTTGATTGGTCTCTCTGGTTGTCATACTTTTTACATCCTGTCCTGTCAGCATATTCCTTTGTTTCACAAACCCATCACATGCACACATCCTCATTTGGTTCTTTCCAGTGTCCTCCTAATTTGGTCTGTTTACCAAAACTGGAAATCCCAAGGGCTCTGCAGCTGAGAACTGTGAGCTGGCCAAAGCAGCAGAGTCCCTTACCTCATATTATGGAATGCTGTGGTACATGCCTTCAGTTCCCAGCCTGTGTGTCTGCTTGCTGTTTGCCTCTGTCATACAGTGGGCCTTGAGGAAACTTTGTCACAAACAGGATTTTAGAAATCAGTTAACCTTTTGTCGTTGCTCTGGACCATTGTTCTAATATATATCTATTTTACCGACAAGCCAGTTTCCAAAAGCAAACCTCTGAATACCATTTTCTAGCAATCAGTAAGGAGGACTGGATGTTAAGGGTAGGAAAGGACACTTGCTTCATCCTCATAGCTCACTATCTTGCCTATTACTTTCCTCAAAGGATCAGGATGGACACAAACTAGGTAGTGCTTGCAATGGAAAGAACTTCAGTGCTCACACATTGGTGGTGGTAGGAGCCATGGAGAAAGCACGCTGAAATATTTTTAAAGCACAGAAAGAAATATTTCAGGCCTGTTCCTGATCTCACAGCAGCTTCATATTGGTGTAATGGCTGTATGGGCTCACTCCTGGTTTACTGTAGTATAAGGTCAGAATTGGGCCTGTCTGAAATGTCACTTATGACCTCACATATGTCCTGTGAAGGGTGGACATTACAAGGCTATGCTACAGTAAGAGCAGGACTTGGGGCACCCGTACATGAGCACCAAGGCTGCTCCGACACCGTGTAATTTCAGTATATTGGAGCAGACTCAATCAATAACAACTTACTGAGTGCATTTCCCTATGGGGCACCACTGCCTGATGAGGCTAAGCTCCCTTTCTTTCTTGTAGGCCAGCATCTCTGGCTGAACTACAGCACCCACAATCCAGGATGTTCTCCCCTCTGATTAATTCAAGGGGTACATTGTTGGAGCCACAGAGTTCCTTCATATTTGATTTCTGTGACTTCTGGGTTTGAAGTGATAGTGTTATAGCCTTACTGAGGGTCATCCAGTATCTTCTCACAATGCCTCCCAAAGGACATAGAAGGTCTACAGAAGTCAATTTTTAAAGATTCCTCAGCACAAAGAACCGTGTGTTCTAAGAGTAGTGATCTTCACTTCTGTGATTGAAGAATTATTGGTTTCGTTGTTCATGTCTCTGTCAAGCTGACTCTTTGGGTGCATGTCATCACAAAACTTTTTTTCATTCTTTGCAGAGATGAAGAAGGAGGGGAGCATCTAAGGAAACGATCTATGCATCTTCCTTTTACCTTTGCCACGGGGGAGGCACTGCTATACCAAACGACTTACCCAATTCCCAGCTTTCTTGAATCTTTCCAAAGCAAAGGTAAAAATAGCAAATCCAAGAAGAATTCTCAGAGTAAAGGAGGGAGATCCCAGAAGGACAGTGTGGACCCAAACTCCCTCCTTGGTGCCATGATGAGACAAGATGAGTCAGTGTATGTCTCCCAACCAGCTACAACCCCCAAGCATTCCTTCAGTGGCAATTTTTTTAACCACTCAGGAGAATCTTGCTTATTTGATACAGGAGGAGATTCCTGGAATGCAGTTGCTAATCCAGCTTCTTCTGGAGAAAGTGGTCTCAAGCAGAAGCTAGTCAGCTTGAGGGAAGGGGACCCGCTGTTATCTACCCTAGACTCTCTCTCTATTAGCAGTGATGAAAACTGTTCAAATAATGAGCTGTTCAATGCCCTGGAGAGTCTAGGATTGAATGCTGAAGACCTGGAGCTCCTGTTATTAGATGAGAGGATGGTGAAGGTGGAAATGGACCCAGATTATATTCCATCCCTTAATGATCTGTTAACAAACAATGAAATCCTGTCTTATATTCATGGTTCTCTTGTAAACAAATATGAGGGTGAGCCTACAGGGGTGCAACAGGGCTACCTCTTGCCAGACTCAACCCAGAATCCAAGCAAACACCCAGCAATGTATCCATCCCAAATGCAAGACAAAGGCTCCCAGTACCTCCCTCAGCACTTTCAGCAGAACCAGCAGTCACTGATCTTGCAGCTTTCGCAGCAAATGCAGCAGCACGTCATAGCACAGAACCAGCAAACTGGCCAGCCGTGGGAGCAGCTGTCACACTCAGCACTAAGTCAGCTGACACCCCTGCTGATGAAGCAAACTGATGAGGATAAGCCACAGCATAATGGTCTGCAGTGGAGGCCACCAAGGGGACCAGCTGGGGAAGGTCTGTCTCAGTTCATAGAGTCTGCCCTTAGCAATCAGCAGCAGAACACCCAGTGGGTCAGGCCTCATGGATCAAGCCTGCAAACCTCAACCCATCACCATCAACCCATGGAAATCCCTTATCAATGCAAGCAAAATGGGAGGCAGATGGAAGTTGGCTTTCAAGCCACACATGAAGTACGTCAACCACTCCTACCACAGGAACAGCCCTCACCCCTGCAAACCCAGCACTGCTTCCAACAAAAACAGGCTGAGATACAGATAGAGCTGCAAGGTCAGCTGAAACAAAAAACTAGTCAGCAGTCGCTAAGAAATGGTCTGTGTAACCGTGACTCACCCAGTCAGCGCATCTTGGGGAATAGCACTTGGCAGGACTACAGCTCCCAGCTAATTGGGCTTCCAGCACAGGCAGAGACCTATAGTGTCCAGCAGGAACTGAACTCCCAGCCCGAGGTCTGTACTGATCCAGTGCCAAACACAGGAGCGTCCACAATTCATTTCTACTTGAATGGGCTGTCAGATATGGAGACAGTGAATAGCGGAGGGTCCCAAGAGGTTATCACTCCATATTCAGGATTTTTACCCCCATCCTCCTATCAGATTCTTTCTCAAAAGCAGCCAAGCCCAGTTGCTTCAGAGTCCCAATATCCTTTTCCAAATTCAGCTGTGAATCACTTTGTGAACATTGGTGGCCAACAGGAGGGCTCTGTGAACGCTTACGGCATATACACATCATTATTAAACCGGGAGAATAGTCCTAAGGTAAGGGCCTCTTTTGCATTTAAGCTAAAGATTTCCAGAGTATGTGTCACATGTTGGCTCCTAATCAAGCCACATGTACACAGTTATTGTACTCATTCAGCAGCTGTGCCCTTGGGCATGTTGCGTTCCTCTGAACTGGCTACCTCAGAAACTGGAATTAATATAGCCATGTCTGTCTAGTGCCATGGGCCTATTACCTCTGTCACTCAGTGATGCTAATTAGCCTGCCCAGAGTGCTGTGTGGGCATGGCTACACTACTTTCATTGTCAGAGGCAGCCCACCTGGACTAACACAGCATGCTTGAGAGTGCTGCTGCCAGGTGCTATAACTTACCATGTAGATGTGGGTTATGTGGTTTGCTTACATGGGGCAGAGGAGTGGATTGTGGTCTGTCAAGCAAGTACTCTGAGCACTGGATTCTCTTTATTTTCATGTGATCTGCCTTCAATGCAGATCCTTGGACAGCACCAAGTGGTGCACAGGGCAGCTCGGGTAAGAAGACTGTGCAAAGGTACTCTTAGTACATCTCCCATCCTAGTCTGGATGTACGAACACCTGGAGTCTGCTCTTGAAGGGCTGAGGCCCTGTGCAAAAGAGCGCTTGCCATATGGTGGTAGCATGAAGGGGCATGGCACACAGCCAATATGGCTCTGGAATACCGGAAGAGTCTCTGGTGCTAGAGCACTATTCCCATGAATGGCTACCTGTAGTGTGAAAGGGTTTGAAGATCTTGTTTTGCTCATTCATGCCTCCTGCCTATGTCCTTGGTTCATTAACCATGAGTAACTGTCCCAGGAGACTACTACTGCTTGTAGTCTGACTGGGATTTAATTAGCTGAGAGTTTGGACGGGATCTACTGGGCCAGCTGGCACCTAACAATGATAGTGTGAACATAGATAATGTTGTACAACAAGCTTTTCCACATTAATTTCCCTGAGAGTTCTGCTCATGCCCTTATAGCACAGTTTGGTCTAAATATATGTTTACCCAGATGGATCCCAGCAAGGGCCTTGACAAAACACCAAATGAAATCATAAAAGTACAGAACTGGAAGTGACCCCAAGACATCACCTAGTCCAACCCCGTGGACTAAGATGGGTACACCTTGACCAGCAGGAGTCAGTGTTTTTCATGGATGTGCAACACGTTGAGTCCAGCCCCTTCCCGAGTGCCACACCAGTCCTCTTTCCCTGCCCAGTCTGCTGCTCTTCATTATGCTCCCTGGTCCCTCCCCAGTCTACCACATGTCATGCCCAGAAGCTGCCCATGGCATTTGTGGCACACTTGCTGCAAGTTGGCCACCCCTGATGCCAGCCATCCCAAAGGCAAATTTGTCTAAGACAGGGCTGTCCAACTGATAGCCCACAGGCTAATCAGAGCCCATGAGCAGTTAACAGGTCATCCGCAGGCCCTTCTGGCTGCCTCTGCTGCTTCCATGTGGCAGAGCAGGGCATAGGGGTCCATGCGCCACCTGTGCAGCCCACATGGAGGGCAGGGGGGTTGTCCAGCAGGCGAGAGCCAAGTGCTGCCACAGCAGCATGGAAAGCAGAAGAGACCATGTGCCACTTCTGCAGTCCATGTGGCAGGACCCAAGGTGTCCCAGCTGCCTGCGGAGGGTTCGGGATTGAGAGTGTGGTTGGGGGTAGAAAGGTAAGAAAGATTTATTGACTTAACAAAAATACAACTACGTGTGGTAACAAGACAGGCAAAAGCAATTTGCGTTGGCAACTTATCGGCAGTCCC